GAAGTGGCCATTAGCAAAATGTACAAGTAATTATAACTCCCAAATCTCCACATAGAGCATCATGACATGCAAGTCCACATTTATCTTACTTTTAAAAGTAAATTCAAACCTTTTTCTTTTTTGCTTTCTACCTTTATTTCCCGTTTTATTTGGTTGGGATAAGAAAAATTTGTTTGGGTATAATGGAAACAAAAAACACAATGAATAAAGGTGGGGAATATTGAGACCAGCCATGCAGCATACATAGATTGGGAAGACTTTCTGCAGAACATGAGATTTGAAGAGAGTCAGTTAGATGATCAGATTACTATTGCCCAGGCCAATAGTTGGTTAGAGAGCATAGCACAGTCAGACCAGCAGGATACTGTAGAAGTGTACAGTGATAAAGACTAACTGGAACTTTGCTGGCCAGCGCTTATGTACTCTATGTAATTGGGAGACTCTACAGGAAGAATTCTGATTGTAACTCCCCTTTCCCCCCTTATATAATATACTCTATCTTGGCACATAGACCAGAATGTGCATGTGGCTTGCTATGTCTGTTTGTATTGGGTTGCAACCCCTTTCTATTTCCCCAATAAATTCTTTTTTGCTGATGAAACAACTGGTTGATTTTAATATTCAGTTGAAAACAGGAACATTTTGCAACGTAGTGCCTGTAGATGACCCATGTACGCGCAGTAATTCTTCCTGTATGTGAGTTACTGTATCTGTTTCCATTAAACCACTCCCCCCCCCCCCCCCCCAGTTACTCTGACACTTCTATACGTTTAGGGCAAGAGTCATCAGTTTTCTGTGTGTCTCTGTGTGATTGTAGAGGACCCAGCAGCCTGGGTTATTGAAGAGTGCTTCAGGGATGGATAGCACTGATAATCAGATCCATGAAAACCCTTTCTGCAGATGAGGCCTTTTCTTTAGGAAATTAGAACTCTAATGGAGGTTTGAATAAGAAACAGGTCTAACCAATTAAACATTCCCTTAGTTCTTGTCTGTCTTTGTGATGGTTGTTGCTGCTGGGTAAGGCTAGAGGAAGGTTTGAAGGGTGATGGATAGGAACAGCATCATGACTTGCAGGTGGATGAGCCCCACATCGATTTCTCCAGTGTTTTTTTTACTGAGATGAAACCAGGTCAGGTTGGAATTCTGAGGCAACTGAGAAATACAAAAGCGTACCAAAGGCTGTCTGGAAGGGTGTGTGGAAACAGGGATGGTGTAGTAACACCCACTTGGCTGTACCCAATGGACATGTCCAGGCACCCTGTGGGATATAAACACGGAGCCGGATGCCCAATTCACTCTGCTTAGATTAATCCGGGGCTTTGAATAAAGGGACTGGTCCATTTGAGTCTTCGTACTTGTCAGGTTTTGTCATGTTGTGAAGACCTAGGAGAAACAGTTTCTCAAGACTTTTTTACATGCTACTAGGTATGCTGGCTGTTAAACTTTCTTTTCAAAATATGTTTTGATTTCAGAGAGAGGAAGAAGGGGAGAGAAATATCAATGGGAGAAACATCAATCAGCTGCCTCCTGCACCTTCCTCCCTCCAGGATTGGGCCCCCAACCAGGAATCAAACTGTGACCTCCTAATTCATAGATCGATGCTTAACCACTGCGCCACACTGGCCAGGTTAAACTGTCTTTCAAGAAAGGCCATTTCAAAATGAAATCATGACTTTGTATATGGTAATAATTTCATAGTTCTAGTTCTAAACCCCAATTAATTCAAAATTGGTCCTGCTTAAGCATGTATTGGGTCGGCAACTAAGTAATTGCGGATTTTTTAAAAATCAAAGACAATTTTTTCATGGAACTAAATAACTTTATTCTGTAATGTATTGCCCATTTTGATCAATGACCTTTTGCCATCTTTCAGGCAGCATCATAATCCCACGTTCAAAAAACTTCTGGTTTTTATTAGCAAAAAACTGAATCAGGTATGATTTGACATCATCATCATTATTGAAATTTTTACCATTCAAGGAGTTTTGTAAAGATCGAAACAAAAAGTAATCAGATGGTGCAAGGTCAGGACTATATGGTGGATGTGGCAAAACATCCCAACCAAGCTCCATTAATTTTTGCCGAGTGACCAAAGATGTGTGTGGCCTTGCATTGTCATGATGGAATACAACACCTTTTCGATTTGTCAATTCGGGCCGCTTTTCTTCAACTGCATTGTTTAATTTCGTTAGTTGTTCAATGTAGACATCAGAATTGATCGTTCGGTTGGGTGGCAAGAGTTCAAAGTAGACAATTCCTTTGTAATCCCACCAAACTGATAACAAAACCTTCTTTTGATGAATATCAGCTTTTGATGTTGTTTGAGTTGGTTCACCTGGCCTGCTCCACGATCTTTTCCGCTTGATATTGTAAACAACCCATTTTTCATCGCCAGTTATCAGTCGTTTTAAAAATGGATCATTTTCATTACGTTTCTTTAGCAAATCGCAGCTGCTAATGCGTTGTGTTAACTGTGATTCTTTCAGTTCGTGAGGAACCCATGTATCGAGTTTGTGAACATAGCCAAGTTGTTTTAAGTGATTTTCAATGCATGTATGTGATACATGAAGCTTCTCTGCAATCTCACGTGTTGTACTGTGACAGTCCGAATTGATTATTGCTTTGATTAGGGCATCATCAACTTCAACTGGACGACCAGAGCGTTTTTCATCTTTGAGTGAAAAATCACCAGAACGAAATTTGGCAAACCAATTTTGACACTGCCGTTCTTTTAAGGCTTCGTCACCGTAAACAGCACATAACTTTTTATGAGCTTGCGATGCATTTTTCCCTTTGCGGAAATAAAAAAGCAAAATATGACGAAAATGTTCCTTTTGATTTTCCATTTTTCAACGAATGCCAAACGAAAACTACAAAACAGATCAAAAAACTTTTTTTATTGATTAACAGCTGAATAGCCAACTATCAAATAACAAAATGTGTTTTACATTTGTACTACGTCTGCAAACCTAAAAATTCAACTGAAGCCATATGTGTGAAACCCGCAATTACCTAGTTGCCGACCCAATAGATTCATATAGAGTGTGCCTAATTCTATCAGACAAATGGTGATTTTCTATTGGTAACATGATTGCATTTTCCTCTGGAGACTGCCGTGGAGGTTTAAGTCACTAATATGTACACAGGTCTTATGACTGTCCCTACATTTAACGTGTCAATGTAATAACATTTTTACCTGTACTGATATTAAACTTTCTCACCTTAAAACTTTAAATTCAATTCAAATACTGCAAGATCAAAGTTTAATTTGCTTTTTTTAAAACAAAAATGGTACCATAAACAAAGCCCACTTTGTAATCAGAATCCTTTCCCGCCTTATATAGGCAGCATAGAAAAATGGCGAGTGTATAACATGGATTCCAGGAAGCTAAGCAAAAATAATTTGTCATATAAGTAAAGTAGGTTATGAAAATTTTAAATGAATAAAGAAAAAAAGCACCAAACTGAGAGGGGACAAGAAGGATCATTTTCCTTCTCTAACTGCACTGCTTGAACTAAATTAACAAAATCTCCCAAAATAAAAATATTTAAATAACTATTTGAATGTTTTTTAAAGTACTTTTCCCTAGTAAATACCAGGTCAACAACAACAAAACCTGCATCCTTGCTTTATTTTAAACCTTGTTGCGGAAAATAATTCTAAGTGCATTAGTATTATTTACTACTTTAGTGAGTGTCTAGCGATATCTCACCCCTTCTGTGAATTTTGACTGTAGGAAATCTATGGATATATGGAGGCAATTGTCAAGAATCTGAAAGGACTCCAGAACATAGCTGGACCAAAGTTCCTTTTGATTGAAGAGGTCTCAGTTTTCTTGTGATGAATCTCTCTCAAGTCACATTCCCCTTCTTCGCCCATAAAATAAGACTTCCACTAACTTAAAGGACAGTCTATCAAGACCTGGTATCTGTTTCCATTAAACCACGTTTTCCTCCCAGCTACTTGTAAAACCTAAATCTTAAAATAAAAAAATAAATAAATAAAAAAGAAAAGTAGAAAGAACGAAAGAAAGAAAGCAAGTGAGCAGGCATTGACTACGTGGACAAAGGGAATCTTAGTTTTACGGAAAAATGCAGCCCCATAGGAGCCCTGAGCAAATATTAATAGATGGTCCGCCTCTGAAGTCCTCTGACGTGATCCCTGCGTCCGCCCCGGAGGTTTCCCAGGAGTTCCGATTGTAACCGTGGTAACGTCAGGTTCGCCCCGTCCAAAACCGGCCCGGTGCCCTTTCCTTCTAGGCAACATGTGATTCCATCGGGTCTTGTCTTCTCATCTCTGAGCACTGAATTCACCCCCTGCCTTTCGGTGCAGGGTATCTTTTCTTTTCCCGGGAAAATTAAAACATCCCTCAAAGGATCAAAGAGCTGCTCCACCGCGGAGCCGGAGGAAAGCGGGGACCATAGACCAGATTGGAGGGCCCCGCAGACCTCCTCAGCGCGGGTCTGCAGAAGCCAAAGCGGGGGGTCAGGAGGGTCAGGACAGGCCAGAGGGATGGAGGCCAAAGGCCCGACCCATCCATCAGGCCGGAGACAGACAAAGGTAACAGAGGGACGGAGAGGCGGGCGGGCCGTGGCGTGACTTCAGGACTCAGAAAGAAAAAAACAGGCCAGGACTGGGCGAGACCGGAAGGTGTCCGCCAAGCTGGCGCACCCGTGACTGCGGGAGCGGCGAGGCCCCGCCGCGCAGGCCGGGAAACGAAACCCCGGGGTCACGGGTCCGGGAGGCTCCGCGGCCTCCGGCCTCCCGGGTGGGCGTTTCCCAGAAGCAGCGCGTGCCGCACGTCCTCCGCGCCGGCCTCGCCCCCGGCGCACTGCGCACGCGCGCGCGCGCGCCCCGCCCTCGGCCCCGCCCCCACCCCGGGCAGTGGGCGGGGCCAGGAGCCGAGGTGAGGCCGCCAGACTCCCTGCAGCTGCGTGCGCGCGAGCCGCCGCCGCCGCCGCGTCAGGGCCGCCGGCCCGCCCTCTCGAGGCCCCGCCTCCGCGCTCCGTTTCCCCCTCACCTCCCCCTCCGACCGAGCGGTGACTTAAGCAACAGAGCGCCGGGGAGCCTATATTTTCTCCCTCCTCGCTGCGGTGCAGGGCAGCCCCCCTCCCCTCCGGCCCGCGGCCCGCACTCCGGCCCGAGATGAATGCTGCGGCAGAAGCCGAGTTCAACATCCTCCTGGCCACCGACTCCTACAAGGTAGGGGCTGGGGCGGGGGCAGGTGAGGGGAGGAGGGGGCGAGCGCGGGGTGGCGGGGGGTCGGGGGCGGCTGGAGTGGGGCCGTGCGCCGGGCAGCCCCGCGGGAGGGTGCGCGCGGCGGGCGGCGCGGGCAGGTGAAGCCGGCGCCGCCGGGGGCAGGAGGCGGACGGAGGAGGGATGGAAGGATGGAAGGATGGACGGCAGGAGGCGGGGCCTGGCGGAGCGTGGTGGGGGGGCGCGGCGAGGGGCCGAGGCGGGCCCGGCCGGCGCTGCACGCTCGCCGGCGGGCTCTCCCTCCGCCCCGGGTTCGGGGCTCGGGGCTCGGGGCTCGGGGCGCGGGCCGGGCTGGCTGGGGCGTCTCCGGCCGCGCGGACGCCTGGCCCAGGACCTCGGCCTCTTGGCGCCGGGCCGGGCGGGCCGGGCGGGCCGGGCTGGGCGAGGGCTCGCCCTAGGAGCGGGTCAGTTAAGTAACAGCCCCTGGGACTCGGCGGTGGAGGGAGGGAGGGAGCGGGGTTTGAGCAGTGGGGTTTCCTAGCTCCAGCTATTGCTAGGCAGATTTTTGTCCCTTTTCCGAGGAGGGGTGGGCGAGGTCCTATGGGGGTACCGCCTGCGGCTGGGAGCTGAGGACACTCGTCTGTCTGTCCCCGTGGCCCCGTGCTGGGTGTCTCCGTCCCGCTCCCTGGGCTCCGTTTCAAACTTCTTTTTTGCTCCTGCTGATCCCTCGTGATCTTTCACCCCTGCCCTTACTCCACCAAGGCCACTGCAGGATTTCTGTGAAATGGAAAGTGAAACGCGAGAAGTTCAATGAACTGCAGTTTCCAATCCTGGAGCATTTATATGCGTATTGATGGGACTGTTGCATGCATAGCGGCCCCATTTAATTTTATTTGAAAAACACACACATTAGGAAAGGGAAAGAAATGATGGGGGGGGGGGGGGAGAGAATCTGCCAGGTGTTTACTCCCCTACTTTCGGAGTGCCGTTAGATATTAAGTAGGTAACAGAACTTACTCCGTGACCTTGGGCATGTCACCCCATGTGCTCTTTTATGTACATGGCATTGCTAAAGTGTTGGCTTGTGATTATTTGTTAGAACTTAAGAATAAAATCATAACTGGAAATTAAAAATAAAATTATAACTGGAAATTATAAGTGGGCTAGTAGTTGTTGTCTTTGGTCATGTGATCCATTGTGGCAGGAAAGCTTCTTGGAAAGATAAATCAACCTTGTGGGAAATCTAGAGCTCAGGAGCAAGTTAGACTTTGCTCTCACGGAATTATTTTGTGCAGCTTAAATATTTCTCATACTTCTCTTTAAATGTCATGCTTGGGGTTACAAAATTTAGAAGCTTATCTTTTCATGAAGTGCACAATTACATAACTGAAATTGTTTCTTAAAAGAACTACATTTTCCTGTGTGCCTGTTTTTTATGACACATATATTTATATAGTGGTAGTGCTCTGTTAGCTACAGAAAGGCCATACCAGTTTAGGAAACATTTTTAGGGAAAAGGTTTGCTGAAAATACGAGAGATTTATTTTCTCTTCATCTGTAAATAATTTTTAAGTTATTATGGAGCCGTTTTCTCTAATAATCTAAGTCAAAACAGTGCTTTTAAAAAATATGATTTGGTCTTAGCCAGTTTGGGTCATGGGCCTGCAGGCTGAAGGGTCCCAGGTGATATTCTGGTCAAGGGCACATGACTGGGTTGTGGGCTCGATCCCCAGTAGGGGGCATGCAGGAGGCAGCCAATCAATGATTTTCTCTCATCGTTTATGTTTCTATCTCTCCCTCTTCCTTCTTCTCTAAAATCAATTGTGTGTGTGTGTGTGTATTTGAGCTCCCTTTTGTAGTTCACTTTAATTTTGAGTGAAACTTTTTGTTAGTATTGCTTAACATTTTTTAAATGGAGCTCACAATTTCTCTATCCATTCCAAGGCCTTCCCCATCTCACTAAATGCAGCATTTACCCAGGTGCTCAAACTCAAGGAATTAGGAGACATCCTTAATTCCTCTCCTTCCTTATCCTCCAGATCTAACCTATCAGCCTAATTTCCCTTTACCTCCAAAGAGATTGAGCCATTGCTCTCACCTAGCCTAGTAGTCTTTAGCAGTAGCCTCTCACCTGGTGCCCCTCTTCCACCCTGTACTCCAGTTCTCCACCTCACTGCCAAGTGATCCTTGTAAAATGTAAATCACCTTTCTTAAAACACACTAATGGCTTCCCTTTGCTCTTGATATAAATTCAAACTCCTTGTTATAGCCTGTAACCCTTACGCTGTTCTTGTCTCTGCATCTCTGACTTCAAGACCATGTACCTCTTTCTTCCTCCTCCCCAATCTCTAAGCACCAGCCACTCTCTTTTCTGTCCTTTGAGACAAGTTATTTCATACCTCCTTGTCATTTAGGTCTTGCTCACATGTCACCATCTCAGAGAAGCTTCCTGGCATCCCATTTGAAGTACTCTCCCAGGCTCACTCTAGCCCACCATTTTCTTTTCATTTTTCATAGCATCCACCTAAACCTGACATTATTTTGCTTGTTCATTATTTTCTGACTTTTCAGCCTTCTTGAGCCCTATGAGGATAGAAACTACTTTAGTCTATTTCTCTGTCCTCAATATCTGAAACAGTGCCTGATATATAGTAGATACAGTATATACATAGAGAGTGGGGCAAAAGTAGGTTTACAGCTTATTAGTCCAGGAAATAGTTTATTCTTGTATTACATATGCATTATTGAATTATTTCCCATATGAACATTGTAAACCTACTTTGCCCCACCCTGTATATTTGTGGATGAATGAACTATTTATAAAATCTGTTGATTTCAGTTTCTGCTGTATTCATCTCAATTTCTGGTGAAGGTTTCAAGGGATTCAGAGTGACCAGTTTAGCAGAAAGTAAAATGAAGAGGGCAGGAAACCCAGCAAAAGTAGAATTATTATAAATCATCCTTTGTATTTTTAGAATAATATTTTTAAGAAGATCTGTATAAAATGTTTTCTCTTAAAACAATGTTATATGCCAATATAAATAGATCTGAACATACAATTTTCTTCTTTTATAAAGTATTGGGTGATAGTAGGTGGTTAATAGTAAATTATGTTTCATGTTTAATTGCCTGATAGTTTACTTAGAAGACTTAGATTCTTTAGCTAAATTCTAAAACTATTATCTTAAGTTTTTCCAAAGAAGATTTTAGAAGTCACTTCATTTCTACTTTAGCAGCCAAGATAATTTCATGTTTTTAATGATATTTGTTTTCAGAGGAGACATTCCGAATATTTATGCACAGTTTTGAAGTACCATAATTAAAAAACACAGCCAAAGTAAAGAACTGAACTGTATCTGTAAGATCAAAAATTTTTAATATACTTTTAGACCAAGATGGATTTACATAGTTAAGGGACATTTCCATTTAATTTTTAACTGGTTGGTCTACTCAGAAGATGAAAATAATTCGTTTGTGTTTTGATACTTTTAAATCTGATATAGAAAAAGTAAATTTATAAAGATGCACCATTAAGTATCTGAACTCTAAAGAAGGTCAAACTATTGAGAGTCACAACTATGAATCTGACTTTTATGAACTTGCCTGATGCAATATAGATCTTTATTCATATTTTACTTCATCATAATTGAGTTTTCTTCTATCCCACTGCTAATTTCCATTAAAGTAGTTGGAGTTATTTATATTGTAAACTGGACATTTTCATTTTTATATACACATTAGATACATTTTTAGTGGTATTTTTTCTAATCAGTTTTATAACTAAAGTATCATTCATATATATGTGTATGTATATAGATATAAATGTTGTTTTTTAATGTTTTTATTGACTTTTTAGAGAGAGAGGAAGAGAGGGAGAGAGATAGAAACATCAATGATAAACACATCGATCGGCTACCTCCTGCATACCCCCTACTGGGGATAAAGCCTGCAACCTGGGCATGTGCCCTGACTGGGAATCAAACCCTCACCTCCTGGTTCATAGGTTGACACTCAACCATTGAGCCACACTGGCTGGGCTATATGTTGTTTTGCATTTTAGTGAATTGCCTAATAGATTTAAATGCTCTGGACTTAATAATGGTATCAGTCCCTGGGTTCTAACCTGAAAGAAACTAGCAAATACTTTTAGATATTGATGAGGTATATAGGTAATCCATCATACCTGAGCGAAACAGTTCTAATTTCTGTTGTCTGACTTAGGCAATCAGGCCACATATTAATATAAAGATTGCCTGTAAGGAATATGAGGGTACTGTTTTTATAGAGTTGCAAGTTACTTCTATTGAAGAGGAAACTAAAATATTTTTTAAATTTGTGGGGTTATTTTGCTCTTTCTACAGAGTATATTCATTTTAGATGAATAGCTAATGTTTACAGAGGTCATCTATGAACTTTGGTCTGCAAAGATTTATTCTACCATTAACCTGAATTACCACCCAATTAAGGCATTATTAACTACTCTTTCAACTAGGAAAATAAATGCATATTGTTCTTCCAGTTATTTCTTATTGGTAAATGTTTTAACCACATTGAAATATAATAAAATTCAAATTATAATAAACACTCACTTTATTTTTTCTTGAAACAAAAACAGATAATTTTTCTCAGTGACTTTTACTCAATTTGATGGAAATTGTGATAATAGCCTCTTTATATTTTTAAGCTTATAAGGGTTTGATATTGTATTGTATAGGCATTTCTTTCACAATTCAGATGTAATTTGAACAAAAGGAAAGACTACAAAACAAGAATTTTTTTTTTTTTTGGTTGCTTTTGCTGTTTTGCTTTCATTCAGGTTTTCAGTGTCACTGTGAAGACTAGAAGAGTTCATTCTCATTACCTCATTATACAGATGAAGAAATAGAATCCTGAGAAATAATGACTGTTGACTTATCAAACACACTACATTTAGATAGGAATAGGACCAAATTTAGCTTTCAGTTCATTCTTTTATATCGTATATGTGCGCTCCTCCTGTCCCCCTCAGGCAGCTGCATCTCTCTTCCCTTGAATGAATACTGTTCCCTAAGATCAAATAAGACACTTGTCTTTGTACTGTATCAAATGGGCAGCTTAGAAACCTTTTGCTTCCTTAAGTTCATCTGCTTGTTTATAAAATTTCATACTCTCTTGTGGTTTTGAATTTAAGATACTGAACTATTAAAAGTATCTTAATAAGTATTTCTTATTTTTTATTTTTATAGCCAGGAAAAGGAGCTGATCAATTGCAAATAAATATAGTTTCTCTGGTTTTAAATAATTTCAAGCCCTTTCTGTTGTGATATATAGTCCATTTTTCTCATGTTTTCTAACTCAATTATTTTTCTCTTGTAGGTTACTCACTATAAACAATACCCACCCAATACAAGCAAAGTTTATTCCTACTTTGAATGCCGTGAAAAGAAGACAGAAAACTCCAAAATAAGGAAGGTGAAATACGAGGAAACAGTATTTTATGGGTTGCAGTACATTCTTAATAAATTCTTAAAAGGTATTATTTGTCCTATAAATTTAAAACAGTGCTTTTACATAAAACTTCATAATTTTTCTCCTATTTTATATTCTGTTATCTAAAGTAACATTTTGAATAGTCTAATTTTGATATTTATTTAATTGCTTTAACAACTTTAAGAGCCTTGGAATTGAAAAAATCTTAAAATAATATTTACTAATATCATTAGTAATACTTTAAATCTTAGAATTTTGTGTGTGCTAGTGTTCTCAATATAAGGAAGATTTTCTGAAACTAGTAAATTTGGGAATAAGTCTAGAAAAGTCACTAAATGGGGTCTGGTGGGGGCAGGCAAAGGGGTGGTATAGGGACATCTGTAATAGTGTCAACAATAAAAATAAAGTTAAAAAAAAAATTTTTAAGTCACTAATTTTCCAAGGCAAATCTGGTTTGTTAATAGACTTTAATCATTAATTCAAAATGAAGGATTTAGTAGTATTATTGACCTGGGAACTCATTTTGAATTGTGGTAGCAATTATAATGAGAATATTTTTATGCTAGTCAGTTTTACCGTAGAGTCTTATTTTTCAAAACTACCTCTATGAACTTAGTCCCAAATGCATATAAAAGCAGAAAAACCTCCCAAATAATTTCTTTGCCTTTTTACTTGAAAGTCCATTTCTAGTCTGTTTCCTAATATTTCTAGGAGGCAAAACAGTTTCCAAGGATTTTATGTATTTTGAAATATTTCATCTTTAGCCTTTTCAAATAAAAAATTGAACACAGATAAAGTTGAATTTTTATTTAATAACCTTTCCCATAATCTTGGCAATTTTAAGATTAAACTGTTCAGATATGTTACATCTGAAAACTACTTGGTATCCAAAATACTTCTTTTGCAGCAAGACCTCCCAAGATATTTTAAATAAGTTTATTAGTGATCTTATATTGAGAAAGTTACCAATAGACTGATGTCACACTTCAATTCTACAGGTTAAAAATTTCATATTAGTTATTAATTATAACAAAAACTAGAGGCTTGGTGCACAAAATCTATGCAAGGGGGTGGGAGGTCCCCTCAGCCCAGACTGCACTCTCTCCAGTCTGGGACCACTGGCTCCTAACTGCTTGCTTGTCTGCCTGATGGCCCCTAACTGTCCCCACTGCTGGCCTGGTCACCCTCAATTGCCCCCCTTGCCAGCCTAGTCACCCCTTACTGCCTCCCCACACCAGCCTGGTTGCCACATGCAGCCTGCTGCTCGGTTGTTTGGTCACCCCTCACTAACCCCCCTGCCTGCCTGGTTGCCCCACACAGCCTGTTTGGTCGTTCTTTAGGTTGCAATGGTTGCTTAGGCTTTTTTATACATATACATATACATATACATATACATATACATATACATATGCATATGCATATGCATATGCATATATACATACATACATACATACACATATGTATGTGTGTGTGTGTGTGTGTGTGTGTGTGTGTGTGTGTATATATATATATATATATATATATATATATATACACACTAGAGGCCTGGCGCACAAAATTCTTGCACAGGGCATGGGGGGTGGGGGTTGTCCCTCAGCCCAGCCTGCACTCTCTCCAATCTGGGATATCCTTCTCACAACCTAGGACTGCTGACTCCCAACTGCTTGCCTGCCTGCTTACACCTAACCGCTTCTGCCCGCCAGCCTGATCAGCGCCTAACTTCTCCCCTGGTGGCCTGATTGCCCCCAACTGCCCTCCCTCCCCTGGAAGCCTGGTCATCCCTAACTGCCCTCCCCTGCCGACCTGGTTGCCCTAACTGCCCTCCCCTGCCGGCCTGTTTGCCCCCAACTGCCCTCCCCTGCCAGCCTAGTCCCCCACAACTGCCCTCTCTCTTGCAGGCCTGGGTCCCCCACAACTGTCCTCCCCTGCAGGCCTGGTCCCCCACAACTTCCCTCTTCTGCCAATCCAGTCAGCCCTAACTGCCCTTTGCTGCTGGCCTGATCATCCATAACTGCCCTCCCCTGCTGGCCATCTTGTGTGTTAAGAGTGATGTTCAATTTGTATATTACCTCTTTATTATATAAGATATATTGATTTCCTATTATAAGCCAGCATTATTCTAAGTGCTTCAAATATTATAACTCAGTCCCCACAACCACTTAAACAAGTAAGTACTCTACTATTCTTATCTCATTTTTGCAGATAAAGAAAATTTAAAGTATCTTTGGGGGGCAAAATGTAGTACATTATTGGATTATCAGCCCTGAAGATATCTTTTAAGAATAAAGTGAGAAGGTTCACCTAAAAAAATCATCTGTATCAAAGGCTTACTCTTAAATTTGAAGTTAATTAGAAGTAAATTTATTTATAATTTAATAAATTAGAAGTTAGTTTATTATTGTGATTTTAAAAAATACATGCTATAATTTCTTCTGCACATTTACTTTTCAAATAAGAAATCAGTACACTTAGACTGAGTGATTAAAAGTGCAAATTCAGCCTGGTGGTATGCTCAGTGGTTGAGTATAGACCTATCAATCAGGTCACAGTTCTATTCCTGGTTTGCGGGTTTGATTCCCAGTAGATGGTGTGCAGGAGGCAGCCAATTAATGATTCTCGTAATTGATGTTTCTGTCTTTCTCTATCATCTCTCTTCCTCTATAAAATCAACCAACATATATATATAAAAGTGAAAATTCATTTTCTGACTTCGCTGTTGACTTTGGATGAGTTATTTGACCTCTCAGTTCTTGTTTTTTTATCCACAGAATGGGTGAAAAATCAACAGACATTAATCTTATGACAGCTCAACAGTTCACAGAATGTCTTAAAAAATGTAAACAAGAAATGTTTATCTTTTTAGGTAAAGTAGTGACCAAAGAGAAGATCCAGGAAGCCAAAGAGGTATACAAAGAACATTTCCAAGATGATGTATTTAATGAAAAAGGATGGAACTATATTCTTGAGGTAAAAACTGGTTTCATGTTTTGGTCTACTATTTTGGTTTTACATTTACTTCAAAATTTCTTGCAAAGGAGTTTGAATAGAAGATTAGACTATAATTATAACTCTTTTCTGTCTGTGACCTAAGTATGATGGCTACTTTAGACATTATTGTGAAAAATTAATAGTAAAAGTTAAACTTTTTTTTTTTTTTGATTGCTAATCATTACTGTCTAGAATCTACAGCAAGTCTAATTTGTTATAATATAAATGAACTATAATGTAAATAACTTTTTTTTAGGAAGGTAATTTAACCCTTTCTTTGAAAATACACTATAATTTAAAAAGGACATGGTTAGTTGGCAATTTCAAAATTTAGGTCTATTTCTTGATTGTAAGTTATCTAAGAAAATAATTGCTTGAATCTGTCACTACACAATAATTCTAGGAAATTTCCCTTACTAAATAGTTAGAATGGTTTGATGCAGATCCATGTAGTTGAATTTTATTCTTTGTTTGTACAGTAATATATCTGGCATGTTTGGAACCCTTGCTTAAACTTTGGGCATCCAGAGACATGAGAATTAAGTTTACATCCTTTGGTGTTTGCTTGTTTTTTTATTATAAAGATAGATTGGAAATGGTATCTATTGCATCATGCCATGTTAAGTATTAGTTAACTAATTTACATCTTAAAAATGTATGTATTTTCCATTGTAGACTATTAAACACAAAATAATTAGAAATATTTTAACTTTCATGCCTATCTGGTAATAATCAAATTTTACTTTTTGTTACTTATGAGTCTTTGAAGAAGTCAGGTAAGCACTCTGTTCTGTAGTTTTTCCATATTTAAGTGAAATCTGTTGGGTAGCCGAAACCAGTTTGGCTCAGTGGATGATAAGAGCGTTGGTCTGCGGACTGAAAAGTCCCAGGTTTGATTCCGGTTAAGGGCATGTACATTGGTTGTGGGCACATCCCCAGGAGGGGGTGTGCAGGAGGCAGCTGGTCGATGTTTCTTTCTCATTGATGTTTCTAGCTCTCTATCCCTCCCTTCCTCTCTGTAAAAAAATCAATAAAAAAAATTTTTTTAATCTGTTGGGTAACTTGTAAACTTACCCCATTTGGTTTTTTGTGAGCATAATATTAATATATAAGTCAGGTACTATGCTTATTAATACATGATTTTATGTTCAGAGAATTTTAGGGACTCATAGGTTCTCTAGAGATAATCTTGTCTAACCATATTTTATAAGGAAATCTGAGACCTAGAAATGTTAAAATACTTGCCCAGGTTTTTTCTACCTGCTTTTGAATTCAAGGCAAGACTTCTAAGGCAGTATTCTTTCTGCTCTATCTTGAGGTCCTCAGTGCTTCTCATTAAACAGTTTTTTTAAAATATATTTTATTTATTTATTTCAGAGAGGAAGGGAGAGGGAGAGAAACATCAGTGATGAGAGAGAATCATTGATCAGCTGCCTCTGCACACCCTCAACTAGAGACAAAGTCTGCGATCTGGGTATGTGCCCTGACCAGGAATCGAGCTGTGACCTCCTGATTTATAGGTCGATGCACAACCACTGAGTAACACCAGCCAGCTAAAGAGATTTAAAAAAATATATATTTTAGATAAAATATAAATTAAGCTGGTATTGTTTCTTGACCTTTTGAATTTTTAGAGAGAAAGGAAGAAAGGGAGATAGATAGAAACATTGATGAGAGAGAAATATCATTGATCAGCTGCCTCCTTGCATGTCTCTCAACTAAGCCTGCAACCTGGGCATGTGCCCTGACCAGGAATTGAACTATGGCCCCTTGGTTCCTGGCTCAGTGCTTAACCACTAAGCTATATTGGCCGAGCTAAACAGATTTTTAAAATTCTAGTTACCTAGTCCAAAATCACATAAATAAACGTAGATATCTGAGACAACTTGCCTTCCTAACCAAAAGTTAGCCACAACTTTTAGCTTTAAAAGTAGGGAGGCATAATTAAATATCTAGTAATATCCTATGTAGCAAATATATTCTCAGCCTAATTTTGGAGAGAATTATTGACTTTTTTTTTTTTTTAAATACATTTTATTGATTTTTTACAGAGAGGAAGGGAGAGAGAGAAAGAGCTAGAAACGTCGGTGAGTGAGAAACATTGACCAGCTGCCTCCTGCACACCCCCTACCGGGGATGTGCCAGCAACAAACGTACATGCCCCTGACAGGAATTGAACCTGGGACCTTTCAGTCCGCAGACTGACGCTCAAACCGGTTTCGGCAAGAAATTATTGACTTTTGATATCAATAACCAAAGCTCTAGAAAGTGTACTATCTACTACCAAAACAATTTCAGATCTACACAAGAATAAAGAGAAAACCTATTTAAGGTTCTTCTATTAGCAGGGATCTATTTTCTGTGTGTGTGTGTGTGTGTGTGTGTTTTATTTTGCTTCTTTATTTTGCTCTTTATAGTGTTCCCTTATTTCGTCTTTCTGTCTTTAGCCTTTCTTTTATGAAAATGACCTACTTAGAAGAAAAATAGTGTTTGGGGAATACTTTGGGAATATGTTGGAATTTTGTTTTGTCTTGTTTTGAAAGAATGAAGGGGAAACAACACTTTTTTTTTTTATCAGTATCTTTTTTTTTTATCAGTATCTTTTAATAATAAATATTTGTAGCAGAAGCACTTAGACAACATGAAATTTAAAAGTTGATATCAGTACCTTAGCTGTTAACTAATTTTATTTTAGGAGAATAAGGATATTCTGACTATCTTACTAACATAATAACATCTACAATTGCAGTTCTGTAAAATATAAAGAACCTTATTATAAAAACAGGTAACTGTATATCATCAGTTGAATGAAATGAATTCATTATTGTCTCTTACCAGAAATACGATGGGCATCTTCCTATAGAAGTAAAAGCTGTTCCTGAGGGCTATGTCATTCCCAGAGGAAATGTTCTCTTCACAGTGGAAAACACAGATCCAGAGTGTTATTGGCTTACAAATTGGGTTGAGGTAAATTATTTTGTTTTTAATTCTTAATTTGCATTAATTGAAGATGTAAAAACCATTCAATTAGGATTCTAATTTAAAAATTGCTACTAATAAGGTGATGTCACCTCCTACAATTTAGTAAACCTTTACAATTCTCAATTTCCTCACCTATAAAATGACATTGGACTAAATAATCTTTAACGTTCCTTGCAGTGAAATCTAATGTTCTGAGATTTTATCTAAATCAAATTATTATTTCTATTAAAGCTTAGCTAGCTTTCATCTTATTTGTTGCAGTCCTAAGAAAAAAATTAGAAAAACAGCATAGGTATATTTTTGATGATTTAAAGCATTTTTTGGAAATTGTTTCAATTAAACTAAAGGTATTTTTGTTCAAATTTTTAATAACTGCTTTTTCTATTCTATCTAATTAATTAAGAGCCTAGGCTCTACCTCCTAATATTTCTCATCTAGCTACATTCAAGATTCACTGATTATTTGATTTCTGAGCCTCAACAGAGGCTCCATTATAGGCTCTGAGTTTATATTACTAAGTTTTTTGTTTGTTTTCCTTGGATTTATTCCTAAATATTTTTTCACATGCTTATAGTTTTGATACTAATAAGCTACTTAGCTCCTCACAGCTTAATTTACACTTGATCTTAGTTAAAAGGCCAAGAAGCAATACCAGCTTAACTTATATCTTTACTAATAAAAGGTCTGTGGCCATCACGACCAAATGAGCAGTGGCAGGCGGGGCGGGGTGCAAGCTACTAGCAGCAGAGAGCTATGAGTGGCAGAAGGTGGAAGGCAGAAGGCGGAGGGTGGAGGGTGGAGGGTGGGATGTGAGCTACAAGCAGCAATGGGCGAGGCGGCCAGCTGAGGCAAGCAGAACCAAGCTACTCATTCACGATTTCATGCAGGCTGGGCCTCTAGTTTTATCTATAAAAGGAAATATTCTGGAAAGTGACTATAGAAATACCACATTTATTTTTGAGAGGTGTTTGCTTAGTGCTTAGAACTGATTCTTTATCTTTTTAGTTTATTAGTTAAACTAATTTGTTATTGCATAGTAGTTCATTTATAAAAATTAGAGAAGAAAACACATCCAAAAATATGTTTGAAATTCATTTTTGCTAAATGAATTTTGCTAAATTTAAAACTTTTATATCAGACTCTTAATGAGCCATCAACTAATAATAGACTAATGGGCTCAAAAAAAATGTTCAATTAACTAAAATGCAGATTTTAAATAGTTCACTGCTATGTCTTAAAACTTTGAATTAATAAACTCAAAATAAAAGAACATGTATCTCCTTATTTTGTATAATTGTTATAGTATTTGTACTGGAAAATATTTATTTTAGGGGAATGGTATTATGAAAACACAACAGTGGAGGGTTCTTAATCATATAGTCTGTCATTTTACCTTCAATGATGCCAAAAGATTCTAAATAGATAAATCTTATTGTGAAAATCATCATCTGTGGATTAACTTTTTCTCAATTTTTTTCTGGTTTCCTGATTGAGAATTTAGTCAATAAGTATTATTCCCTTATGTTTAATTGAACTTCCATAAAGCAGATATTTATGGACAAAGAACTAGCTCCCAGTCTACCTTTTTTTTAATTATTATTTTAATCTTTATTATTCAGTTTATTTCAGATGTTCCTCCTTCCCCCCCCCCCCCCCCCCCCGAGCTCCCCTCTACCTGGTTCCCATCCCACTCGAGGCCTTCCCCACCCTACTGACCTCATCGATAGGTATAAGCTCTTTGTCCAATCTCTTCCTGCACCCGCCACAACTTCTTCCCCCGAGAATTATCAGTTTGCTCTCTTTCCATGCTCCTGATTCTGTTATATTCACCAATCTGTTCTGTTCATCAGGTTTTTTATTCATTTGATTTTTTGGTTCACTTGTTGATATATAGGTATTTGTTGTCACTTTGTTGTTCATAATTTTTTATCTTTACCTTTTTCTTCTTCTTCCTCTTCTTAGAGAATACCCTTCAGCATTTCATATAATACTGGTTTGATGGTGATGAACTTCTTTAGTTTTTTATTTCTGTGAAGCTCTATCTGACCTTCAGTTCTAAATGATAACTTTGCTAGGTAGAGTAATCGTGGTTGTAGGTTCTTGCTGTTCATCATTTTGAATATTTCTTACCACTCTCATCTGGCCTGCATAGTTTCTGTTGAGAAATCAGCTGACAGTGTATGAGAACTCCCTTGTAGGTAACTGTTTTTCGCTTGCTGCTTTTAAGATTCTCAATTAGTCTTTTGCTCTTGGCATTTTAATTATGATGTGTCTTGTTGTGGTCCTCTTTGGATTCCACTTGTTTGGGGTTCTCTGTGCTTCCTGGACTTGTAAGTCTATTTCTTTCACCAGGTGGGGGAAGTTTTCTGTCATTATTTCTTCAAATAGGTTTTCAATATCTCGCTCGCTCTCTTTTTCTGGCATCCCCATAATTCAGCTGTTGTTACGCTTTAAGTTGTCCCAGAGGCTCCTTAAACTATCTTCATATTTTTTGGATTCTTTTTTCTTTTCCAGTTGGGTGTTTTTTGCTTCTTTATATTTCAAATCTTTGACTTAATGCTTGGGATCCTCTAGTCTGCTCTTGGATCTCTGTATATTCTTTATTTCAGTCAGTGTATGCTTAATTTCTGGTTGGTCCTTTTTCATATTTTTGAGGGTCTCACTAAATTTCTCAGGTTTCTAGAAGATTCTTGAAAAACCTTATAACCGTGGTTTTGAACTCTATCCAGTATTTTGCTTTCCTGCATTTCTTTCATTTGTGACTTATTTGTCTCCACATTTAGACTGCTTCCCTGTGTTTGTTTCTATGTACTGGGTAGCTGCTAAGTCTCCTTAAGTTGTTAGAGTGGCCTTTTGTGGTAAGTGTCCTATAGGGCCCAGTGGCTCAGCCTCCTCAGTCACCCGAAGTGGATACTCTTGGTGCACCCCTTTGTGGGCTGTTTGCACAGTCTTATTGTAGTTAACCCTTGATTGCTGTTGGTATCACTGGGAGGAATTGACCTCCAGGCCATTTGGTTGATGACCAGCTATGTCTACACTGGAAGATCTGTTGCACAAAAAACACCCTTATGAGGCAGGACTTGCTTTAGTGGGGCTTTGGTGCTCAGAGTCTGTCCCTTGAGTGTGTTTCTTATGAATGTGAAGAGTTGTAATCCAGTATGGTCTCACACTGGCTTTTGGTTCTCCAAAGAGGTACAAGGTCAGCCACTGTCTGGGACCGCCCAGCAGGAGCTACAGAGACATCTGCAGATTCCTCTTCTTTGTATGAGGTTTGGAAGTGCCCAGACAAAGCCCACCTATGAAACAAGGCCAGCTGCTGATGCCAGGCCTTGGGCCTTCTTTTGGAAGCTATTGGGCTCTCTGACCCAGCTGCAGTTTGACAGGTTTTTATGCAAAAGCCTATGTGCACAGGTTGGGTGGGGTTGTAAATTGGGTGGGGCGGGGTCTCTGGGAATCACCTGGGAAGAGCAAACAACAATGGCTACACCAGAGAGGTCCCCAGGTCTCAGTGTCCTGCGTCCCCGTGCAGAAACAAGGATCACTGTGAGCACCTCTGAGAGAAAGCTGCCCTCGCATTCCTGTCCCGATGCCAGACAGACCAGTTTCTCCCCGTATGTGTCTTGCCCGGAACTGGAGTTCAGAGCAAATGGGAGCTTGTATCTTCCTCCCAGTTTAAAGAGCAGCACATCCAGGTGCCAGCACTTTCTGTGCCTCCGGACCTCTTACCTGTCTCAATGCTCTTTCTTCACCTCTCCAGTTGTGGAACTTCCACTTAGCCAGCTTTCCCGTGGTTCTGGATGGTAGTAGTTCTGCCTTTTGGTTGTAATTTTGATGTGGTTTTGAAAGGCAGCAAGTATAGGTGTTTACCTATGCTGCCATCTTGGTTCTCAGAGTCTACCTTCTTCATGTACATTTTTATTCTCTTCAGAAAGTGAAAAAACATAGCCTTAAAAAATAAACTTTTTTTTTTTAAATATATTTTATTGATTTTTTACAGAGAGGAAAGGAGAGAGCTAGAAACGTCGATGAGAGAGAAACATCGATCAGTTGCCTCTTGCACACCCCCTACCAGGGATGTGTCTGCAACCAAGGTACATGCTCTTGACCGGAATCGAACCTGGGACCTTTCAGTCCGCAGACGACACTCTACCACTGAGCCAAACCGGTTTCGGCAAAATAAACGTGTTTTAATAATCATTATTGTTTTGGTTTATTTCACCAAAGAAACATAAAGTAAAAAATTTTATATATAGACACCCTAGAGCACTAGTTCATTAGCAAATATATAAATATTTTAATTTTAACAATTATTAAATGTGAAATCCAATGTGAGACTTAGATTTTGAAGAAAAGAAAAAGTACATAGTTCCTTGTTTTTATTTGCTTATAACCTGAAATAACTAATACCAAGTTTATCTTCTATCCTAATATATATCACTAGAAATTCAGTGCACGAAATCATGCACCAGTGGGTTCCCTCAGCCTGGCCTACAGGATCAGGCTGAAACCTGCTCTCTGACATTCCCCTGAGTGGTCCAGGATTGCAAGAGGGCACAAGCTAGGCCGAGGGACCCCACTAGTGCATGATCGGGCCAGGGAGGTACCACCGGAGGGCTCCGGGGCATGTGCAGCCAATCTTGCTCAGTCCCAATTGACCCAACCCCAGCAGCAAGCCAACCTACCCGGTCAGAACATCTGCCTCCTGGTGGTCAGCGCATGTCATAGTAACTGGTTGACCAGGCGACTGTCTGCCCCCGGTGGTCAGTGCATGTCATAGCAAGTGGTTGAGCGGAATATCATTAGCATATTATGTTTTGATTGGTTGAATGAACGACTGGATACTTACCATATTAGGTTTTTACTATATAGGATTTTAAATAATTTCAGGTATTTTTAATTAGGCACAAAAAACATGGTCTGGCCCAAACCGGTTTGGCTCAGTGGATAGAGCTTCGGCCTGCAGACTCCAGGGTCCCGGGTTTGATTCCAATCAAGGGCATGTACCTGAGTTGCGGGCACATCCCCAGTAGGGGGTGTGCAAGAGGCAGCTGATCGATGTTACTTTCTCATCAATGTTTCTGGCTTTCTATCCCTCTCCCTTCCTCTCTGTAAAAAATCAATAAAATATATATTTTTTTAAAAACATGGTCTGACAATCCCTTATTGTAATTTCTGATTGACCAGTGCTTTATAAAACAGTGTGTATATTCTCAATAACAGGTCTCTACAAGAGACTTGTTCATGGTAACTCTGCATTCTTTGTGGCTTTTATGTACGGTTAAAGGAGGTTCATCCTATTTTTACTCATCCCTAACACAACTTTACCACCTTGTATTTGAAATATGTTACCAGATTCAATAAACTTTTTATTTATAAATTGAAGATTTCCTTCAGGTAATTCTTGATTTAGAATATTTAAAATAATAGTACTAAATAGGGCTCCTTCTAATTTATTTTCATTGTTATTAATAACATTCTTTAATTGTTATTAACCATACACTGTTATTCCCCATATACTGACCTTTAAAAACCACTAAAATTATTGAATTGCTTTATCAATTTCAATATTAGTTCTAGAAGAAATTTTAGTCCTCAAATCAAATTTTAAATCATGTAAGAGGGGAGTCTCAGACATCAGAAGAGCTAAGGATTGAATGTATTAGGCTAAACTTAATTGTCTCTTTCAACCAACAAAACTAAACAAAATTTGTTGCTGTTAAAAAGTGACTTGAAAAATCATTAATCCAATAGCCCTCATTTTACAGATGGGGAAATTGAGCCCTGAGAGATGAATGCACTGTAGTTTACACTAAAGTATAGGTTTAGTCCCCTTCCTGTTATACCACACCATTTTTTATTCCTTAAAATTCTTTATCCTGCACAGTACGTTATAATACACACATCTTAATGAAATTTGCAGGTTCATTTACTTTAATCTTAGTTTTCAGCTGAAAATTTAACCTTGATTTGTGTGGGCAAATTGCTATTTTGGAAAAGTTTCCAACAAGGCCTACTTTATTAGACCTTGGATTAACCCAAACTAACTTGCCTTTTTTTTTCCTTGCTTACACCTACAGTGATCTTTTTTAAAGGGGACTGATTTTATTAAGAGTATAATTTAAGCTGATTTTGTTGGACTATGGAAAGGAAATGGTGATGTGAAGGATCACTGTGTCTGATAGTTATTTCCTTCCTTCCCTGGCATTTTTTCAAGGGGTAAGGTCAATCTTCTACCTTTATAACTCAACTAGAGTCGTTCACATTGTTTTATCTTTCTCATACTCCTAGATAATACCAGTCTAAGTTAAATTAAAATGTGAGAGTTAATTGAACTAAATCAACAGATGAACATTGAGTACCAGCTATGTACAAAAAAAAAAAAAAAATGGGGGGCACACAAGTTAGAGTAAGTTAAGGCCCTTTTCGGGGAGGAGCACTTCTTAACTAACCACTAACATAAGAAAGAATACTAAATTGGCAGCATAAAAATAGGTAATCCCATCTAAGGAATCTGAAATAGAAAACATAAATAAGCTTTAATAGGGAATAGAGGAAGCTGAGGAAATGACACAGTATTTTTAGAATGACAAATAGCATCAAAGGGGAGCACTACGGTGGGAAATATAATAGATCAACAAGGCAAGATTATAGGAATCCCAATTTCTTTATATGAATTGGTGTTTTCTCACTGTGGACAATAGTTATTAAAGAATGACACAACCTTGCCAAAACCGGTTTGGCTCAGTGGATAGAGCATCCGCCTGAGGACTGAAAGGTCCCAGGTTCGATTCCGGTCAGGGGCATGTACCTTGATTGCGGACACATCCCCAGTAGAGGGTGTGCAGGAGGCAACTGATCGATGATTCTCTCTCATCGATGTTTCTAACTCTCTATTCCTCTCTCTTCCTCTCTGTAAAAAAAAATCAATAAAATATATTTCTAAAAAAAAGAAAGAATGACACAACCTAAATAACACTTTTGCTTTAAAATGCTAACCAGTGGTATGAAAAGTAAGAGAAGCAAAAAGAGTGGTTAGAGATTAGAGGTGATTGGTTATACAGTTTAAATTAGTTTTCTAATGTTAGTTAACAAACTACCACAACATAAAATAGCTATTATTCGCATGATTCTGTGGTTGACTAGATGGTTCTCTGCTGCTCTCTCTTGGACTTTTGTGTCTGTATTAAGGGTTCAGCTAGGACTAGGCAGTTTAAAATGGCCTCACTTCCATGTCTAGGGCCTCTCTCAATAACTTCGGCTCCTTCACAACATTGTAGTCTCAAGGATTTAGGAGAGTGAGAGCTGTTAAACCTCTTAAAACAGTACCTTCAAATTTATACAGTATGGCTTATACCACATCCTGTTGTTTAAAAGGACAGCCCAGAATCCAAGGATGGAAATAGATCCCATCTCTTGAGAGGAGCTGCAAAGATTTGGGGCCGCATTAATCAGTCATAAAGTAGGAATCTAATGCTAGTTTTTTTCTTTTTTTCTTTTTAGGTGACCAAGGGGAAGTCCCAAGGTTAAATGATCTTTAGTTTTTACTTATTTTACTTATTGATCACTTATCTGGGATCAATAAGAGCTAGTTTTGTAAATTCATATTCATTAAATAGCTTTTTCCCCCCCATTAAATAGCTTTTTTATTGAGCTCCGACATTGTTGTCATCTTAGGTCTTTCTAAATCAGATTTGAGTCTGCTTCTAATAATAGACTCTCTGGTTTATAAAATAAAAATGGAAAATTCTGATACTGCTATGGAATAGAAGCCATAATAATTGATATGGTTGCCATGATTAAGTATCAAACTTAATTAGGAGTTCCTGGCAGCCAAGGAAAAAAACGAAACCAAGGTACAATTCTTATAAGAAATTGGGAACCACTCAATTCTTCCTTGTCCTTATTTGGAAATTTATATAAGTACCGTATTTTCCGGCGTATAAGACGACTTTTGAACCGAAAAAAAGTCAACTGAAAATGGGAAGGGGGTTGTCTTATATGCCGAGTATATCCCGAAAAAAGTCTCGATCCCTCACCAATCACTGCAAGGCTGCTCAGACCGCCTCTCTAACTCAGCCAATCCAAGCAGGCTTTTTATGCATGCAAATTATACATGTTCTGTACCTGAAGCTACATTGTGTTCTAGTAAAAAGCCTGCTCAGATTGGCCAGAGTCAGAGAGGCGGTCTATTAAAAAAAGAACTGGTGTTGCCTCGGAAGTGGGGAGTAGTCTTATAGGCCTAAACCTATGTTTTAACTGTAAAATTAGGGGGTCATCTTATACTCCGGAAAATACGGTACTAAGTTATAAAATAGACAGTGGCCTCAGTTTTATAACATATGCAGAAATGTTTCATGTGGCCTTCTATAATGACTTTTGATAAAAGCCAAGGGAATAAAGCATAACTTCAGTGAATACAATTCTCTAGTGTTAAGCAAAAGTATTCAAATATATAACCTACCAATAGTCATATTAGATCCAAGGAAAAATTAAATCAAGTCGACCTTGAGGAGTAAATGAATAACCTTAGGCTCATACTATTCAAGGTACAGTCCATGGACCAGTGCTGGTCCATGAATTATTTGATGCAGGTTCACATTAAATACAGAAATTAAGGATAAGCATTTAGAAACTTTTATAATTGCTCTACCATTCAAGTGTGTGTGTATTTCATAAAATAATTACTCCATGACAGATTGAAAATCTTTTTAAAAGTTGGTCTTTCATCACAGTCTATTATTTTTTTCTTTGGAGCTTTGGAGAGAAATGTGACATCCTCAACTGTTAGGGGCCTGGTGTGCTTTCTCTTTGTGTTGCTGATTTGAGAGCCAAGCTATGCACTGTATCTGGAATGCTCATGTTAGCATTCTGTTACACAGTTGAAATGTCTTAAATGGCATTTCCAGTAGTATGGAAGTCTAGAACATATCTCTGGAGAAAGCTAGGGTTTTCCTCAGAAAGAACCCAATATTTTATGTATTAATATTTGTGGTTAATTTTATTACTGCAGACTATTCTTGTTCAGTCCTGGTATCCAATCACTGTGGCCACAAATTCTAGAGAGCAGAAGAAAATATTGGCGAAATATTTGTTAGAAACATCTGGTAACTTAGTTGGTCTGGAATACAAGTTGCATGATTTTGGCTACAGAGGAGTATCTTCTCAAGAGGTAAGAAACTGAAATGAACCTCATGGAATAAAATGTAGATTGTCAATAGATTACCATTATAAACATTCTGGGAAGTTATGGGATCAATGTTGGTTCTACATAGGCAACATTTTGAAGTTCTACAGATGTACCCAATAGATTAAGTACCTACTGTATGTTAGACTCTGTTCAAAGTACATGGAATATAGCCTTCAAATAATGTTTCCATCCTTTATATATTAGATTGATGGGTGGGTGGACCGACAGACAGACATAATAAATATAGCAGATGCCAGATAATGCTACAGAGAAGCATTAGGTGGAGTAAGGAAAAAGAGAGTGATGGGAAATGGGGGTAGGCCCAATTAAATACTCTTTGAGAAGCAGTTGATTCCGTAAGTGCTTAAAAAAAACTGGATGTTTGTCATATAACTATTATCTCTGATAATAAATAAGAGTAATGGAAGACAATAATTCTTTGGGAGCTATGTCAAGTATGGGTCTTTTTCTTTTTTGGATTTTGGTTTACGGTTTGTTTTCTAGACTGCTGGCATAGGAGCATCTGCTCATTTGGTTAACTTCAAAGGAACAGATACAGTAGCAGGAATTGCTTTAATTAAAAAATACTATGGGACGAAAGATCCTGTTCCAGGCTATTCTATACCAGCGGCAGAACACAGGTAAAACTGTTTTCATTCTTTTATTATCTAAACTTTTATTTTCTATAATTACTAAGTTTTCTCTCTTGTATTTGTAATTTAGTGATGTTTTGCTTAATTACAGAGCCATGTACTCTAGTAAATCTTCATGAACTAAAGCAATACAAATTCATTGATACTTTGTGTAAAGACTAGTATTAGGGACCTAGAGAACTTGTAACCATCCTAATAGAAACAATATAAGAGCTTTTTTAACTGCTATATTGCCATCTAGGTGAGTTTTTTATAAAGGTCTTTTTCAGCTTCTCTATTGCATATGCAGATGGATTTTATGTATTGAATTACATCTGCTCACTAAAACCTGGCCACTCTTTTTCCTCTCCCTACTCTTCTACATGACCTCCAGCTATATTTGCCATGGAAATTGTCATCTGCAGCCGGTACCCTCAATTGTAGAAGGGCTAGTAAGCTCTTTTGATGAAAGGAAGAGAGTTCAGATTCTTCTTATGCTTCCTTATGTGTTCTTATTAAACCATCTCAAGTTAAATTAGAAGGCAGTTATAATCTAGGCAGCAGCTGCTCTAATCCTAGAGTTAACTTGTTTTTAAAACAGATCAAACCTTATTTCTGGTTCTTATAACAAAATGTATTTACTCTTTGAGGTGGTTTCTTAAGTCCTATTTATACTTATTAAGCACTTGTTTTATATGATGTAAAAGGTGAGGTTGTTATAAAGGCAATCTACTGAGTGCTATAAGGAATAGAAAGATAAAATACTGACTCTGTCTTTAGGGTAAAATAGTACACTAGCAACATTTAGCTCTGTTGATTAAGTATTTTTAAAGAGGTATAATTAAAGTGCTGTAGTAGTGCAAGGGAAGGAAAGAAGGGATTGCATTCCACTAGCAGGGTCAAGAAAGGTCTTATAGAGATAGGATATGAAATCTTGATTTTTTGAAGGAATGGTAACATTTAATGGCAATCATGGGGATCACTCATTCTCTAAATGAATATTTACTGCTTACCCATCATGTGTCAGGCATTGTCCTGAAAGAGCAAGAGTGAAAGAGGAGACAATGTGTTTAGGGAATCAGGTAAAATATAGAAACTGTAGGGAACATAGGGTAAACTGGGAAGACGGGTTAGTGAAGGCCCTCAGATTTATGCTAGCTTATTCTATTTTCTAGTGGAAGTGGACATTGATGGTTTTTAGCAAAGAAGTATTGTCAGAGAAATATTATAGAAACATTTTGATAGCAGGTTATCTTCTGATTTGGAAAAGAAACGAAAAGGTAGGAGGCTATGGTAAAGCTATTGCAGCAGTTTTGAGAGATGACAAGGTTCAAAATAAAGTGTCTAAATAAATGGAAAGATGCAGATAAACATGAGTAATGGCTTGGGAAATGAAATTGCCAGAACTTGATGATTAGAATTGGGATCACGTAGAGAGTAGATTCAACTGACATTTATGAGAATAGCTGTATTAGTAGGGCCTTATTGAATATCACATTTAAGACTAGTGAAACTGGGAAAATTTATCAACAGATAATGGTTTTAGGGTTACAATATTTTAATTTCAGACTTAGATGTATGTACAGCCTTTAAAACTTAATGTAGTATCCATGTATTAGACTCTTGACTAGTGGTTTTGTATAGTACCGTGAGAATGGTATTATAAATATGAGAATAAAGATAGTATCTTCTTTAGGACTTTCATGATAAAAAGGTAAAAATCCATTTACTTTAAAGTCACATAATACTACTACATTTGTATGTGTTTGATTCCTTAATGTAGAAGAGTATTTCAGATGTCCTAAATAGAAAAGTCAAAGTCTTAAACAACAGTATAGTATAGTGAATAGAACTTTATAGCTGACACCTTGGGTGGCCTTGGGCAAGGCACTTACCTCTCTGTTTTTCAGTTCATCCAACCAAATAAAAGGAGGAGCTAGAATTTTACATCTTAACATCAGAAGGTCATTGAAAATAAATGAGCTAACATCTAAAATAATTTTTAAATAAGAGAACTCTAAATTTTATAGCACCACCATTATTCTTATAAATATTTTCTTAAGGAATATATGTACCTGGATTTAGAATTATTCAGTTATATAACTTTTTCCTCAAACTTCGGAAAGTTATCTAATTTGATACTGGAAATTGCAATGTTGGCATGTAGAATTCATTGAATAAATATTTATGATCTCCATATACTAAAATTATAAGAAGAAGAATGGGTGGAACAATTGGATTATATAGAGAATCCTCTAGGAAAAGTCCGTGGTATGATGAGATGAACATATTCATCTTCTACCTAACAAAGTACATCTGAGTACAGAAGCAAAACTTGGACTAGGGTACTTTGAAAATCCTCATCGTGAGGGTTTTTGTTTTTTTTTTTAAAGCTTGGGATGTGTGTGTTTTTTCACACATGGAGATGTATAAAGGGAGACAGTGCCCAGGTCACAGTCTTTGGTCATATTGAAGAAAGGAGATAGCATAGCATCTGGGGGATATAGAAAAAGAGCCATAGAAATAGGAAAATCAAAACGTGGGAGGTGTCATTAAAATCGTAGGAAAGAAAGCTTCAGGAAAGTTCAGATGCCACAGGGAAGCCAAATAAAGGCTTAAAATAAACAATTATGTTGGCTAGATATGATAAACACAAATAGAGTTAGCTGACTGTATTGATTCAATGGTAGTAAAATATAACTGCATAAGCAATAACTTCTAACAAGGATTTTTTATTCAGTTACTAAGCTCTCCAGTATTGGTATTCTTTGCTCTTAATTGTCTCTTATTAAGGTGACAGTAGCAATTCTTGATACAAAGAAGGGGCTTTTTTTCATCATGTCCTAATTTTCCATAGCCTGCAGTTGCTTGAGTGAGTTAAGAGAACAGCATAGCTACTGGTAGTCTCTACAGTTTAGAAGAATATTCACTATATAAATAGCTATCTCCATTTCAGACAAGAGTAGTCTCTGTGTAGTTCAGTCTTTATAACCCTGAATTGTACGGACTGTGCTATCCCCAGCATACCATTGACAACACAGGAAAAGTTGGCTACTCTAATTTTTTAGAAAAAAAGTAAAAATAAAATGACAATTTTAAACCTAAATTCGTATGACTCTTCAAAAAGTTTTGAGATAAACGTTTACCTACATGGGGTTGTATAGTAAATGAATGAGTTGTCTTATTTTTCATTATTTTACTTATAAAAATGGAGTAGAGGCAAAGACTAGAAAATTAGGGAAGAAAAATTGCTTGTCATGAGAAAATGGCAATTTTCAAATTCATTATTCTGTTTTAAGAATTTTAAAAATTATATACAGGAGTGGACAAAAGTATGTTTACAGTTGTAAGTACTCAAAATAGTTTATCCTTGTATTATTTATTAATTATTGTATTATGTATTATTGTTATTAACCTACTTTTGCCCACCCCTATATTAGTAAACCAACAAGTTCTTAAATTATATAATATTAATCTATTTAATAAGAAGAACCATTATTGAGGACATAGTGAAAGAAACTCACACTTTAATTTTCCACCTACTTTACATTTTGCTCAAACTAAATATTAAAATTCTTATTCCCTGGATATATGTTAATTAGTGGATAACCTATAAATGAAATAAATGATAATTACTAGCTATTTGAAGATATAACAGGTAAAGAGTTAGTTGACTATATGTATCTATAGTATAGTTTAAGTAATTGCCTTTAAGTGTAAGAATTTGAAAGGTGAAAAAGATAAAATGTGTGCCTACTATTATTGGTACATAATAGTAGGCATACTATTGGTTTTGAAAATTCACAGGAGGGAGTCAAGTGCTTACATTGCCTAACAAATGGTGGGATCATGTGTCCATTCTTTCTAGCATCTTGGCATAACAAATAAAGTGCATTCAGTAAGTGCTTTATAGTTCATTAAGTTTAAATACCCCCCAAAAAATTCAATATGACTTGAAAGCTAAAATAATTATTAGAGAGGAGTGATATTACTTTTAGTCTTAAAAAAAAATTATACGAGGGGTGGTTTGGCTGAGGTATTCAATTTACCCTCTGATGTGCATTCTTAAACCTAATCACTCACTTTTTCTGCAGTGTTGATGATATAATATAGTAATCATGAGATATGATTCAGGAACAGGTAATGTGTCTGCCTGAGTAAATCTGTCTTTTCATTTTGTTTTCTAGTACCATAACAGCTTGGGGGAAAGACCATGAAAAAGATGCTTTTGAACATATAGTAACACAGTTTTCATCAGTGCCTGTATCTGTGGTCAGCGATAGTTATGACATTTATAATGCGTGTGAGAAAATATGGGGTGAAGATCTAAGACATTTAATAGTATCAAGAAGTTCAGAGGCACCACTAATAATCAGACCTGATTCTGGAAATCCTCTTGACACTGTATTAAAGGTAAATTTTAATACATAACTTATTAAAATGCTGTTGACCAGCTGCATCACCACTACTTTTAATTTCATTTACACACATACCATTCAGAGCGATCCTAGATCTTACTTTAGAGTTGCAGCCCAGAGAGAGTAATAGATTTGCCCAAGGTCACACAATAACAGAAAGGATACCCTTAGTTATGGGTTATTTATATATATTGTCAAATAGATAAGTATTGTTGATATTTTCTGTTTACTTTCAAAATTAATTGATAGCATTACCATTTTAATGACTCCTGTGATTTGGTTACCAAGTTTATGGTTTGTTGCTATACCTTTGAAGTTTTTAGTGCAAATGAAACATGTGCAAGTTGAGGTGGTAAAAAAAAATACTAGAAATACTTTTCAAGTAGTGCTTTTTTAAAAAGATACTTTGATCATCAACGTAGCAGTATTGTCTATGTTTAGTGTTCAGGACTTGGTTTGCCTTCTTTGAAAAGCACTAAATAAGAGTAGGTTCTTTGATCCTACTAGAAAAATTGTTAGATGCTTTACTTAGGCTGTGTCACTTAATCTTTATAGAATTCTGATAAATATTCTCTTTTTTATAGACAGATTTAGATAAGAGGTTAAAGTAACTTGCTCAAGGTCACACAACATGTAAAATAAGCCAACTATCTATTGTCGCCTTCTCACTTTACCAGTTTCCCATCTAATAGATGATAAAATACCCCTTAAGAAAGGGGGATATAGAATCAAGGAAGTCTTTTCCTACCCTATTAATAATAGGCCAATCTTAAAGTCATCTTAGCCTGAAATACTTACAGATTTGGTTTTAGCAAACTTAACAGGTTTCATGTTTTATCTGTTACCTAATTTTAAAAAAATGTATAGACCTAATTTTAAAAATAACCAAAGTCATCAATATGGAATCCATGCATTGTCAGAATCTTAAATCAATTTCTTTAGGAAAAGGGAATGATTGTTGGGGAGAAGAATAGTCTGATAGGTCTTTTGAATCTCTGGCCAAGCTTTCTGAGAAATTTTAAATCAGTGTTTAGGTATTTCAGCTGCTGTAAAACTTTTAGTAGTCAGTGAATGAGTGGTATGATTCAAATATTATGCAATTTGGCTTAAAAAGTGGCTTAAAAATCTTTAACTGACGGGAACTTCAGGGAAACTGGGTTATATGAGTTTCATTTCCAGCTTTGCCTGCATATTTCTTTGAACTTTGTAATTCAAATAGATTTATATTTGTTTTATCAAAATTAAATAAAACTATTGAGCACAAGCAGAATAAATGAAAATCAAAAGTATAATCATGATAAATGGTGTTTTATATACCTTTTATAATAAAACTATTATTATATTTACTGTTTTAAGCTTCTAATGTTGTGGTGGGTTCTTTTCCAGAACCTATATAATTTGAGAGATGTAAGGGAAAAATCTTATGGTTTGAGCCACTTTACTGTATAATATGACTTGATAGAAAATACATTTTATGTCTATAACAAAAGAAATTGAGACTAAATTTTAGAAGGTTTATTATGCACAGTGTAAAAACTTTTTAAGTAAATTGACTATATTCTCAAGGTTGTCTAGCAAAGCAAAGCCACTTTTTAACTTCGGAAAGCTCTACACTTGTTTTTCACTTTTATTTTTTGTTGGGTTATGGTTACAGGTTTTGGATATTTTAGGTAAGAAATTTCCTGTTACTGAGAACTCAAAGGGCTACAAGTTGCTGCCACCTTATCTTCGAGTTATTCAAGGAGATGGAGTAGATATTAATACCTTACAAGAGGTATGTGTTTTATACTAAGTGTTCCAATAAGATAATCATAATTAAGTTCGTTTTTATTAGTTTGATAACACATAATTTCAGCACAATTGTGATTCTTAAATGTTTATAACGATATGCCGTATGTCTTTTCTGCTAATTACTTACATTTTATAAATAATAGTAACTTAACCATTTGTATGACATAAACGTCTATAGACACAAGTGGCGGACCTTTTTTCATTAAATTCAAAATGTCATGGCAGTTAACTTAAAAGTAACAATGAAACCTCATTTATATTCCTAGTTCTCATTGGCCACCCTGGATGACAAACCGAAATATCACTGCCCTGGCTGGTGTTTCTCAGTGGTTATAGTGTTGGGTCTCGATCACCAATGGGTCACAGGTTCTATTCCCTGTCATGGGCAGGTACCTGGGTTGCAAGTTCACTCTATGCCTCCACTTGGGGCACATGTGGGAGGCAACCAATTCATGTGTTTCTCTCACACCGATGTTTCTTTCTCTCTTCCCCCATCTCTCCCTTCCACTCTCTGAAAGCAATAGGAAAAAATATCCTCTAGTATGGATTAACAAAAAAGAAGAAAGAAAAATATCACTAAGAAACAAGAAAGTGCCAGTCAAAGAATGTTTCTTGTATTAAAACCAAAGTCTTGAAACTGCTCTTATAGGTCTCAGTTTTAATAGAATAGAGCTTCACATACTCTAACAATGTAGAAACTCAAATGATATTAATATGTGCTTTTTCAAAATTATAAAATGGTTGTTAGTGCTTCTAAATTAAGCCTCAATTGTCATCACTATTGTTAGATTTAGCCACACAGTGCATTATATTAAAACTTTTGCTATTTTTATTCTCAAGTAAGCTCCTAAAGAGCTATAATTTCATAAAATAGACTCCATAAAAGTTAAGGATATCACCAATTTCATAATAGGGACTGTCTGTCATTGTAGCCACTGACATTTTAATGTATGTCAATCTCCAGTTGCATCCACTTTTCTGACACAAGTTATCAAAGATTTTTCTGTTTGAAAGAGTTTGGTGTGTAGTTACAGTGAAATCAGCACTCACATTATAGTTTTCCAAAGGTTCACTTCAAAGTAAGAACTACTGAATATAACAAAACAGTATTTCTGTGGTAATGTGCATTTAGTGTTCCAAAAAGTGGTATCTGAATAGATTTCTTGGAATAACAGAAAGGTTTCTTCCACCAACTCTCCCAAACTGCTTTGTCTGCGAAAAGTGGAAACTCCCAAACTCCTCTAAGACATTGGTGTTGGGGCATTAGGAGCTTTCATATGAAAGAGAAAAGTTTGCAGTGAGGAGGATTATAGGAATCCCAGCTGTCATATGTAGTTGCTGTTGTCTCCTTAGCTCAGCTGAATTAAAGGTTTCTTATCTGGGTATCAGTTAAGAACGATTACCCAATTCCTACATTTTAGGCAGTTTAGCAGATACCTTCTTTATCCCCCTTTCAGATGAAGAAGCATGGACAGGGTTGTGTACCAGTTTCAGAAAACCCATTGTATAGTGCTCTTCCCACTGGTTATATCTGCCCTTCTTATTCCAGTGGTAAGCTCTTTAAGGTGGTTTGTTCAATCCAACTTATTTCAACTTCCTTTAAAAAACTGAAACTATTGGCTTTTCTTTGTCCTTTTTAACTATGAACAAGAAGTCAGATATTGAGACAAATATGCTTTTGCATTGGTGAAACTTTCAACAAAATGATCAGAGAATGAAGTTTGTGTAAAGTGAATGTACTCATGTTGATTTACCTAAAGGGTGATAGCTGCTTTCTTCATGTTGAAGGTGGGTCAAATAAGTTTTTAGAAGGAGAAAGAATAATTCATCTAGTGGTTTTGCATTGTATATGTACTAAATTAATGACTAATTTTGACAAAATGAAAAAAATCTGTTTAATTTCAAACAATTGGCTTCTTATTGACTGTCACTCATCAGTCTTCCCCATGAAGTTTATAATGTAAGCATTTCCTAGTTTGTGTGTACCAAAATCAGTCTGCTTCTTTACAAAAAGAGGCAAAATTCTCTTGTGTTGGACAAAACAGATTGTCTTTTTCTGTTTGTATCTCAGTTAGCTATTCAGTCATCTTGATTATCATGGAGACCTTTCTATTGTATAGTTAATTAATGATGTTAAAATGATACCAAATTCTCAAAATTGGTAAGAAGATTTCTTTTCAAGTGAAGTTCCACATTTTTCTTTCACTGTAGCTATCCTACTGTTCTTTCCGTAGAACCCTTTCCTAGTCCTTTCTAGGAAATGTCCCTTGACCCTCATAACTTCTAAATAGAAGATTTATATAAATCTTAATGATAGGAGAACATTAATTTTTTTATCTAAATACCATGGGCATAAAATAGGAAATGAATAGTGTCTAACAGTTAAATTTTGTCAGTTTATATCTAGTCAGATTTCCTTCTTGTAAATATTTTTTAAATAGTATTTTTTTCCCTAATTCTGAAATTTCCTGTACTCTTAACAGAACGATTCACTTAAACTTTAACTCCAAATTATTTAAATTTTATAACTTCTGGTGCAGCTAAATGGGGAGAATATATTAAAGTAACTGAGCTAGAAATGTAGATAGATGACATTAAATGGTTACTGTTCTTTGTAATTTCCTCATTCTTACGCTTCTGAGGTGTACCTAAAATCATGTGACAGGTCTGAAACAATTTTCTCTATTTTTTCTTGTTAATCCTCGATATTTTTCCCATTGATTTTCTAAAAAGAGGGGGAGTTAGGTAGGGAGAGAAACAGAAACATCAATGTGAGACACATTAATTGGTTGCCCTCCCGTATGCCAGGGATTGAACCTGCAACCCAGGTACATACCCTTGACCTGGAATGGAACTCAAGACCCTTGGGTGCTCTGGTCAGTATTCTAACCACTGCTCACTGGCCAGGGTGATGTTGTAACTAAACCACCTTACCTTCCATCTGTTTCTTTTCTACTTTTTGCATTTCTCCCATATTGAAATCCACTCTTTTAGAACATATCTTAATTTTGTATTATTTTATAAGGATTTTATTATTTTATAAGGATTTTATTGTTTTAGTTATACTTGTTCAGTTATTTCAATGAAAAATCTGAATCCAGAACCTTTGGGTACTATTGGATTCTGATATAATAAAGTCATGAGACTAAGTTTATGTATAGCCTAAGGAATCACTTTAAAATAAATTGTGTATGTTTTCCTAGTGATGCCTGACATATAGCAAGTAGAATTAGATGGTTGGGATTTAAGAAAAAAATCTGCCTTTTTAAATGAGATTGTTAAAAGTTGAAGGTCCTTGGAGTTTATATATTTTTATTGTTCAGAGTTGATTTTATTGTTCAGAGTTGAAAATAAAAGATATCAGGTCAAACTCTTACTATTTGAGGAGAAGATGGTGAATTTATATTAATGATTTACATAAAACTATTAAATTTGCTTATGGTTTTCTAATCGTTTCTGAAAGTTCTATTTCAGTAAAATGGAACCAGATTTCCTTATACTTAGTTTCGACTCATCTCATGAAATTAAATTGAACTTGCAACCTTCTATCACAAATAAAACATGCTAAGTAAATAAGTCCTACTTAGAAAAAAGAAATATAAATTACAATAATAACGTGGCTTAATAGATTAATATAACTTTCAAATTATGTATCCCTTGAAAAAACTACTTTAGCTGCCAGAACTATATGTTCATTCAGGTCTCTAGTGGCTTGTAGATCATCATTCTGCCAAAAGTGATCCAATGATAAATGTGACTGCCTAGTGTATTCATAATTTTGCTTACAGCACTGGAGTTCTAGCCAGAATAAGATGACTCTGCCAATATCTGAATGATATGTAAGAGTATTTTATATTGTTTTGCCACTTATCTATTTATTTAAATGTACCATTAAATATGATACGCATTATGACATGTTGCTAACATATATTGAGATTTATTAGGAGTGATTAGTCATTCCTAGAGTGTAGAAATTCAGGACAAGTGTCTAGTCCCTACTGGTATCTGGGCAACAACTACAGGAGACAGATAAGTTTACTCAAGTAACCTTACATATGTAAAGCCATTTTTCTCTCTCGTTTCATTTCCCCAGCCCTAACCACAGTTACCCCTCATTTTGTACTTTTTGAGGTAGGTGGGGCTTTTTAAAAGAAAATGTGGGATAGAGTTTTGCATAAGCCTATTCTTAATCTCATCATTCACTATGTTATAAAACAACTCTAGGATGCTTTATTCATTAATATACTCATGGAAAATTGCCTCATTTCTTTTCCAGTTTACTTAGTTTTTATTTGTTTTTATTTTTTTAACATTCTAGGTTGTAGAAGGCATGAAGCAAAAAAAATGGAGTATTGAAAATATTGCCTTTGGTTCTGGTGGAGCTTTGCTACAAAAATTAACAAGAGATCTCTTGAATTGTTCCTTTAAGTGTAGTTATGTTGTAACCAATGGCCTTGGGGTATGTCCTTTAACTTTTACTCTTATGTTAGTACCTTCTTTATATATCTAGGTAGAATGCAGTTATTGAATGCAATAATCAAAGGATAATATGGTCCTGAAGTATTAATATACTAGATGCCCTTTGCAGGAAGATTCCTGCAATATGGCTTCCTGCTGTGATCTCCGCTGCCCCACCGGCTTCTCTCCCTTCTTCCTCCCCAGCCCCATTTGCTTGCTTCTCCGAGGCTTTGCTCCCTTCTGTAGCACTTGGCTTCTTTCTATGCTGTCTTCAGTCTTTGCTCTGGCCTGGATATGCAAATTAACCACCATCTTGGTTGGGTTAATTTGCATACTTGTCCTGGTGGGCGTGGCTTGTGGGTGTAGCGAAGGTACAGTCAATTTGCATGTTTCTCTTTTAAAGAGGATTATCAGATATTACTGACTCTGTCTGGAAAAACAAAGAAGAGAGACATTAGATAATAACAAGACCAGAAAAAAATAAGATGAGAGATTAAAAGACAATGCAGGTCAGTCATTTCCCACTGCTTATATATATAACTTTGAATAAAAAAGTTGACCATATTTGATCTGGAACATGAACATCAGCTAACCTAGCCATCATATATGAATGATAAACAGAGCAGGTAAACACTATCAAAACAGTGTTTTAGGAAGGTAGAGTACGACGCTGGAGTTGTGACACCAGAATCATGTTCTAGTAGCCTTAGAATAGAGAAACCCAGGCTGATAGCAACTGAACAGCAATCGCCCGAGGTTTCATAGCTCTTGAGAGTCTGTGGGTCAGAGGGTGAGGGAGAGGACTCTCCTAAGAATGCCTGGTTTGGTCCCATGCTTTATTTACTCCATCTTTCTTTGGACAGTCATGCGATTGACCCCTCTGCTTATGTTTTGCCTCCTACCTTTCTGATCCTGAAATAAACATTCTGCTCTTGAGGTTCTCTAGATCATTTTGCTTCTGACAGTAACAATATAATAGAGTAAAAAGTAACAAAATGCAAAGGTTATGAAATAGGAAAGCCATACTTAGTAAAATCCTAGTTCTGGAGCCACACATTATGTAATTTGAGTTGACGTAGATTTGTTTTTCAATAGTATGTCTGTACTATAATTAGATCAGTTTAAAGATAAGGTGTGATATAAAAGGAGATACCTTAAAGATCACATATTAGCATTAAATATTTCCTACAAAAGGAGTATTAGGTATTTTTCATTGGTAAGAAAAAATAGGAAAAACAAAATCCAAATCTTGGCTAACAAAGAACTCACTCTGTCCTCCAAAACAGGCTAGAATTAGTTTATAAAAGCCAGTTGTGGGATATCTAAAAATTGCCTTAAAATTTATTTGTAAATTATGTAGGGTTATTTGTAAATTATGTAGGGTTATTTTTTAATAGGAGTTGAATGACCATTACTGATGATTAATCTTTTTTCTTTCTGAATTTGGATTTAAGGTTAATGTCTTCAAGGACCCAGTTGCTGATCCCAACAAAAGGTCCAAAAAAGGTCGATTATCTTTACATAAAACACCAGCAGGAAATTTTGTTACACTTGAGGAAGGAAAAGGAGACCTCGAAGAATATGGTCATGTATGTATCTACACTGATTGGATTTGTTTTGTCCTTTTTTTTTCTTTTTTCCTTTTAATAGTAGCTTGGCTTTCCAAATTAAAAAGGAGGCTCTAGTTGTATTTAAGTTATAAAATTATCAGGACAATTTTTTTCTTGGAGGACAAAGCAGTTTTATTTTAAAATATACAATAGTTGACTGAACCTACCAAAATAAGGTGAAAAACAAGAAGTGGCTAGATCATAAATACGAGACTTGTATATATCGGGTGAAATATTTTATAACATTTAAAAAGTAAAAGTGTTTCCAAATAGTGACCAGCAGGGTTGTTACTGCTAAGCTTCAACAAGCTGTGTTTTTTATCTTACTCTGCTGCCAATTAGCAGTCAATTTTTTCTGAAGAGGAATAGTTAAGAATACTTAAAGGATATTATTATTACACTTCTCATAGCTATTTATATTATATAATAGTAAACTTTGGTAATTTTAACCCCCAAAAAGGGGGGGGGGGGGGTATTTTATCCAGATTCTAAAATGCTAAAGATAATCCCATTTTTAAAAATAATAGAATCCAGTTTAGATGGTTTTCTTTAGTTTTCTTTGATTTTCAGGGCAACTCATGTTATCTTAGTAGTATGAAATGTGAAAGCTACAGACTTGATTCAGATTACATAACAAATAAATGGTGAAACCTAGCCTTAACCAAGTTTTCTGATTCAGGTCAATCAAATTGGAAAAATATGTAGTATCCTTATGCTAAAGGAGTCCATATGATCTAATGGTCTTTAACATACAAAAGTACATTTATATTTGTGAACTTAAAAGTTATAAAATTTCTAATTCTTAACCCACTGGATTAAAAACATACTTATTTTTTAGGGAAACTATATTTTCAGAGAAAAGTTTATATTAAATATATAAACACACTAATTTAGTACTTGAGATTCATTATACTATAGCTAATACTCTGCTTGTTACTTTTATGATTTTGAGCCAGAATGAAAAAACATTACCTTTAATTAAAATATGTTTCTAAACAAACTTTTAGAATTAGATTCCTTTAGATAGCCTGTTAATACTTTCCTTTGAGTAGTATTTCCTTATAGCTACCAGGACTTTGCTGAATTACTGTAGATAGTCATAACTTATTTTTTAAAAGACATTGATTTTTAAGAGTATGTGAATGATATTCTAGAATTTTTAAGGTAGTAATTAACTTAAGCATTTTGATTTAAGAATAAGAGCCATCATTTCTTGATAGATTATGTAGAGCAGTGTGATATGAAACAACATAATGATGAAAATATTAGATAATGTTACATATCACAATCTTAAGAATCTTAAGCATGGTAGATTACTTACATATTTTTAAAAGAGAAATTAGAGATAGATAATTCCTTAATAAGACAGGAGTGGCTTTACCGGACTCAAAAAGGAATTTAGTACTGATTTCTTAGTATATCTTTGCTAGTATATCTTTGCTACCCTTGCCAGGATTAAATACATTACTTGTTTGTATCAGTGAATTATGGATATACACAAAGTAAAAATCAGTCACTGTGCATTAGCTAAGAAATAATAATTTTTTATTAAACTCCAGGCTTTTGCATTTACTAACGTAGGGTTGAGCCTGCTGGGTAGGAACAAGGGAAGGTTTCCTTTGCTGTACTGGCAGTGGTGCTTACACAGCCATAGTTCTAGGCAATGCATCTTCCACCTGAAAACACACACAAATGGTTCAACTAAGTATTTTGGTTTCAACTAAGTATTTTGGTTTATCCTTTAAGGACAACTTTTTTAAGAATGTAATCCTTAGATCATTCTTTTTCATAAAAGCTGTATTTCTACATAGCCATTTTAGATAGTACCTTGCTGTCTGACTGTTCTCCACCAGCATTCTTTGTGTATAAAATTATTTCATAATTTGAACACCATCAATATCTCTGTGTATTTGACTAGTCAGTCTAATTCATGAGCCAGGCTTAAGTATTCTGCTTGAGAGTATAATCATTAAACTTCAGTATTGTTAAATTTGTGCAGGATCTTCTCCATACTGTCTTCAAGAATGGGAAGGTGACAAAAAGTTATTCATTTGATGAAGTAAGAAAAAATGCACAGCTGAATATTGAACTGGAAGTAGCACCTCATTAGGCTTTGTTTTATGACGGGGTGTGTGTCTTTGCCTGTGTGTGTGCGTGTACATGCAGGCACCCATACACCAGTGTGGGTGAGTGTGTGATACATAATGTTCATTGTACAGATGTGCGGGTTTCTTTGTTTTATGATACATTACAGCCAAATTATTTGTTGGTTTATGGACATACTGCCCTTTCTTTTTTCCCCCAGTGTTTAGGTGATCTCAATTAGGCAATGCATTGACCACATAAAAGATTAATGCTAAAGTAAGCTTTTTAGGGCCCTTTGCCAATAGATAGTAATTTAATCTGGTATTGATCTTTTCTCAACAGAACTGAGAAACTTTTATATATAACAAAAGATCATATAAAACCGATTTGCATAAAGTTGTCATGATTGCTTTATGTTTATATTTAACTTGTATTTTTGTACAAACAATATTGTGTACGATATATTTAAAGTTTCAGTGATTAACAGTCTTTCCAACTTTTCATGATTTTTATGAGCACAGACTTTCAAGAAAATACTTGAAGATAAATTACATTGCCTTTTGTCCATTAATCAGCAAATAAAACATGGCCTTAACAAAGTTGTTTGTGTTATTGTAGAATTTTAAAATTATGTCGGGACACATCCTATAGAATTACTAACCTCACTGCCCCTTGTAGAATATATATTAATCATTCTACATTAAAGAAAATAATGGTTCTTACTGGAATGTCTAGGCACTGTACAGTGATTATATATGTTGGTCATTGTATTGTACCAGTGAAATGCCAAATTGGAAAGGCCTGTACTACAGTTTTATATGTCAAGTATTGCCTGTGGCTGTAATATGCACCTCAAGATTTTAAGGAGATAATGTTTTTAGAAAGAATTTCTGCTTCCAATATAGAATGTATACATAAATGTAAAATATTGACAAAAGTGGAAGTAGTGTATTTTAAAATAATTACACTTCTGAATTTATTTTTCCTATTCTATAGTTGATATGACTTAATACTGGAATGGGTAGTGAGTGTACTTATTTTAAATTTTTTGATTCTGTTATATTTTCATTAAGTTTTTTAAAAATTAAATTGAATATTAAATTGTATGGACATCATTTATTTTAAACTGAATTCCTAAATAAATAATATTCCATTTCCTAAATAAATAATATTCCATTAAGTTTTTAAATGAAGATGAATTATCCCCAGTCAAAAGCATGATGACATGAGTTTAAATAGAAGAATCTTGGAAGAAAATGGGCTAAATTCAAAGTATTCAGCATCAAAATGTTCTAGAGTGATTATCTGCTAGATTCTGAGTCAGTCATCACATCTAACTGGAGACCATTTGCTTTGTAGATGATTCGTATATATTTAGGTCTGCACTTGTAAGGCAGTGAAAGGTTGACAACTAAAGCCCAAGGCCAAATTTGGACTGGTTTTTTTGTTGTTGTTAAATAGCATCTTGTAGGGCTGCCCTCTCAGACAGCAGCATTGAAAGTGAGTAGTTGCAGTAGTGAACACATGGCCCAGAAACCTGAAATGTTTATCTGGCCCTGGCGGATTGTGCCTTGAATTTTAAGAGAAATGTTGATTTTCAGGGAAGGTAGGAGGTTAAGTAGATACAGAGTTTGTCTCTCATCCTTTCTTTTCTCTTTTAAGAATCTGATTAAATGTGAAATTTTAAAAAATTGAAAAGCCATAAATCATCTGTCCTGAACAATTACATGAGAAAGTATTTTATTAGTATTTTCTTAGAATAATTTAATTAGAGGTGAGTTACCTATTTTAAACATCTTTTATAACATTAAAAATATAGGTTTTTGCAGATGATTCTAAATACTTGTTTAATGAGAATAATAAGTTTTATTCACTTTCAGTAAAAGTTTTCATCTTGTAATTTATGGTAGAAAATAACTAAGATTTTAAATGTATCTAAGTAAAGATTAGTAGTATTAAAAAGAATACATCTTTTCACAAAATGTGCTCTAAAGGGGCTTAAAGAATTAAAAGAAACTATTACAAATAACTGATACCACCTGTAAGTTTGATTTTATTTGTTTAAACACTGGAATCGAACTAAAGGCAATATTCTTTCTGTACTGTGAATATCAGCAATTTCAAAGTATCTAGAGGAGTTTTAAGACTTTCAGTGAAGACTAAAATCTGTACTTTTGAATATGGCCATAGATTGCAGGGTGGGATGATTAATTCTGTTCACTATTACTCATTTGTAACTGATTAACCCTGAATTTCCATCACTGAGCACCACTCTGAGTAGCAGTGGTTAGCATAGGTACCAGGTAGAACTCTGCTGTGTCACCCTTTAAATCAGCCTCACTGTTTCAGATAAAAGCAAATGTCGTGTGGCTTTCCTTAAGTCATTAGATGTGCAACTGACATCAGTTATCCCTCTCAATTCATAATATAAAGTATTTGTATTTTAAATAGAAGATAGGTGTTCTGTATTAAGACTCTTTATTTGTACTCTAGAGTTAAAGTGGTTTTAGTGATTATCCCTTATTTCCTTTATTGCAATAAATTGTTACAAAAAATATTTTATCATTTGGAAAACTAGAACGAGGAAAAATGACAAGGTATTTATTGCTCTGTTTGCTATATTTAGAATTAAACACTTAAAACAAGTATTTTGTAGTTTTACATTCCTTTTTAACCCATTCAGTGGAGAACGTCAGTTTTTCTCCAGTTGTATGTTAAGTCAATTCTAATATATGTATTCAGCATCATAGATAAACATTTTATAAACATGGAAATAAAGTTTAGCTCTATTAGTGAAATGTTAAACTTGACTGTGTGCTTCCAATAATGGCATATTTCCAGACTTGCCTTTTTAAGGCATTCCTTCAGTTCAGATAATTAGAGAATGGGAGGGAGAAGTGTCAAAGATGACTCCTATATTTTACTTTCTGCAACTACTAGTATATATATGGTAGTGCCTCTTACTAAGAACACTAGAAGGAGACCAGCTTTATGGGGAGAGAAAGAGCACAATTCCTATATTAAGATTTGAGATGCCTTTGAAACATTTAAATGATACTAGATAGCTTTGTATATAGATTTGGGGACAAAAGAGTCTCAAGATACCAATTTGCTGTGTAGATAGCCACTGGAGACACAGGAAAGGATACTTCTCTAAAGACACAGGAAAGGATACTTCTCTAAAGAAAGTGTAGAGTATGGCCTGGCAAACCACAGGCCAGATCTAGTCCATCTATTTTTGTAAATAAAGTGTTTTTAGAACACAGCTCTGCCCACAGCTCTCTCTGGCTGTTTTCATGCTACAATGGCAGAGTTGAGTAGTTGTGCAAAGCCTAAAATAATTTACAGTATGGTTCTTAAAAGAATAAAATGTGTCCATTTCTGCTAAAGAGAACTAGACAAGATCCAGAAATCTGAGAAGACAAGTGGATTGTATGGTTACACAATAAAATCTTCTAGGAGGATGGCAGAAGTTGTAATGGAAAGGAAAACTAAAGCAGTGCCCAAGTGTTCAGTGAATGAGGTGTAGGGACCAGGAGGCAGCAACAAGGAGGGATGCAAATCTCAAAGGGATCAAGCAAGGGAGAGTACTAGCACAGGCAGGCCTGCAGAAAGCTCAGCCTCTTTGAAGGGTCCAACCATATGAGACCAGTACAAGCTGATTAAAAAGTGTTTCTGTAGCTTACTGTCCTTCACCAGGCACTCAAGCAATATTTGATGTCTAAATGGATGGAGAGAAGAAATAATCAAGATAAAAATTTCTTGATTTCATTAGCTTGCTACAAATACCCATTTTCTGATACAGGCCCATATGTTGAAGCGTTTACATAATCTTTAAATGTTTGTTTGGAATGTTACATTTTGTTTACATTTTATTTTTAAGAGACCAGCCAAAGCATTCTGCAACCAATTAAAATCAGTCACCTCTCCCATATATTTAGAGTCCTCCCACCTCATTTTATCATTTTATTTTCAGAAGTTTCTTAATTGTTCTCTCCCCCAGAGACAACTTTATCTATTTGGTTCACAGTTCTTTATTCCATTAAGACTTACTTATTAAATACTTTTAAGTTATTCCAGCAAAGAGAAATATGTTCTTAGGGATTTAGAATCATTCAATTTATCAATGTCACCAAAACTTTTTTAACTAACATGAAAATGGGTCCTGATGAAAATCAGGTATTTGCCTGCATATTGTCACATGGGCTGATTGAACCCTCACCTCACTGGTATACATGACTTGGTAACTTCCTTGGTATATTCACAAGAGACCTGAGGTTTTGACCACTTTTCAGAGCTCATGTTGCTGCTCTCTTAGCAAATACTGTAGTAGCCTGCCAATTGATTTTTTGGCCAGTTTATAGAATCATCTCTACAGAAAAAAGTTTTGGTTTATAATGATTTATGTTCAATTTATGATAATTCCAGAAAAAAATATTTTCTTTGGTTGGAAACAAAATTCAATTTAAAATACACTTATTCTGATCGACTTTTTTTTTAAATTTTGTGATTGGCTACTGAGCTGATACTTTTTTTACTTAAACTAGGTAAGACATTCTGTAGATTTTATTAAAATGAATTAGCTCTAGTGCTTACGAGCTCTCCTGATGAATTGGCCAAAAGTCTAATTTTGATTAGGTCTTCTAGGGCCCATTGGGGTTATGTTGGAGAGCTGGTTTGCCCCGTGGTGGTCAGCGCGCTGCCACAGGGCTCCGCTGCTCAGTCAGAAGCCAGGCTCATGGCTGGTGAACACAGCAGCACTAAGGATTCACTGTGGGAGCGGATCTAAGATGTCAGTTGGACATCCAAGGCTGAGGGACACTCACCCCCTCCCCCAAGTGCACAAATTTCATGCGCCAGGCCTCTAGTAAAAGAAATAAAAGCTTAATAGGGAGGTAAGAGAAATTGCTTTGTGAACAAGAGAATGCCATAGCTGAGTGTATAAATAGTCTAAATTTGTTAAAGGGATGGGCTTAAATAAATTGAGCTTATGGTTTAAAGCTAAAATAAACAGTGATAGCCCTAGCCAGTTTGGCTTAGTAGATAGAGCATCAGCCTACAGACTGAAGGGTCCCAGGTTCGATTCTCGTCAAGGGCACATGCCCTGGCTATGGGCTCAACCTCCAGTAGGGGGCATGCAGGAGGCAGCCAACCAATGATTCTTAACATTGATGTTTCTATCTATCCCTCTGCCTTCCTCTCTGAAATAAAAATAATAATAAATGCTTGTGATCAAGGTTAACCATATCGATAAGTAAAAAATTTCAAATAAATGGGTAATTAGGTTAGTAAGAGCAACTAACATCACATGACCTGGTGCTGGTAGAGTTTGAGTTTTTTTTTAAATGACTATTTTGTAGAATGGAGTCTATCAGAATCACCAGTGGAGCTTTTTTAAAAACCAGATTGTAAAGGCTGTATCAAACACCTACTGTGGTAACCCTAATAAACATATAAGTTTGAGAACCACTGCTCTATATGGGCACCTTAATCTTTAAACAGTATGAGTATATTTGCTTTTGTGTTTTTTAAAAGATAATTGTTCAAAGTCCTTATTTCTGTCATCTCTAAACACACATATCACTACCAGATGGTCGCACCAATGCTACATAGTTTTTCAGTTGAATACACTTAGTAGTAGCAATAATCTGGGTAAATTTTGTGGATCTCTTATAACAAGGTCAGATCCAAAACAAAAATTAACAATGACTAGGGAATCAGAAAGCCACAGAGCAAACATTTGAGATTCATTAAGATGTTGAATAAGAACATGAACAAAAATCTAACCCAGATAATAATTTAGAATTGGCTTTAATTAGCTCCTTATGTGATTCTCTGGATACTAAAATCATTCATGTGTAAGCCTGACTGATGCCAAGCCCTCAGGCTCTTGAAAGCAACCTCTTTTCTCTCACCATTAGAGTGGCTAAAAGGACCACCAAAGGCTCTCAGATACTATACTGGGACAACAAAAGGCCTACAATAGCTGCAAACTTACCTCAAGAGCCCCAACAATTAAACAGAATGCTCAGTTCTATGGAAAGGACCCAACTTGCTGCAAAGTGGGGGCCTCCCACCCTGTGGGGGAGAGCTTATTCCAGTTCCATTGATATCTACATTGCAGTTTGTAGATATCATGATCAACATGATGCCTATCATCCTATGTTTTACTTAATTTGTTCCAAAACAGTAAATGCATTTTTCCCTGATTTGATCTTGTTAGAATTTAACGTGGCCATTTCCCAGGTAGCTCTAGAAGCTAGCTAAAAATCAGAACTTGGGTCACAGATTAGAAAATAATTTCTTGAAAAGCCCTCCTAACTTTCCCACACACCATATCCTTAACCACTTGTCCATTTTACAAGCTTAAAATGACTTGTAGCAAGAGTTTTTTTATACACTTCTATATTATTGTAGTCTAGAATGAGGATCTCCTGCCAAGGCCCTTAATTACAGCAGCAGCAATAGTATTAATAGGCAACAAACCAATTTAACATATCAGATCTGATTTCTGTGAGGGAAGAACTGTCGTCTTAATTCTATGGATTAACAGATTGAAATTCAGAAAGTTAAACAAGAAAGGGAGAGAGCCGTCCCACATCTTTCAGTTATAGCTCAGTACAAGATATGAACCCTGATGTACAAAAAAAAATATCACCTGCCCAAGTTATCACAACTAATTAGTTGCAAACCCTTAAGTTGACTGGTTAAATAAAGAACAGAATGAGAGAGAAATCTGCCTCTCAGATGTTAACAGGAGTCTGGATCTGAGTAGCTGGTGTTGCTTCTAAGGGCTTCCTGTGGAAGACGGAATGGCTTTGCTTTGTCATGTTCTAGATCAGTGGTTGCCAACCTTTCGGACCTCACAGACCACCAGTGATCCGCGAACCACTGGTTGGCAACCGCTGTTCTAGATAATTCATTAGTGACAGAATGGGAAAATGGATTTTAATTTGACATAAGAAATTATATCTAATGCTTACAAACCTCAGAAGTGAAGAAATTGGCATTTAGAGATGGCCTAAAAATGCAAGCTATCCAAAGAGACCCAAGCCACTTGTGAGCTCAGAAAATACCTCAGGTCCCTCCCAGCCCCATGATTTCTACAAGTCCCTGGAAAAGTGGGGAGGAAGAAAGGAGGCTTTTAAAGTGGAAGAGATGATTCAACGACAACGATGATGCCTATTTTTTCGCTCCCAACAGAAACCCAGAGAATAAAGAACAGATTTTTTTCCCCAATGTCCCAGTAGAGGGAAATGGACTATGAATGTTGGATCTAGAAACACAAAAGAATGGAGGGAAACAAATAGGGAAGAGAAAAAAGAAAATGTTACGTTTCCTTAGAGACAACTGTTGAAGGGATCCTACATCTCAAAATGGTAATACTTGATAAACTCAATTCCTTAAGTAATCTACAAAGATAATAGAAAGGTTTCACCTAACTGAAAAATTCGAAAACCTATTTTTTAGTCCATTTCTTTACTTCTTCCATGGAAAAATATTTAACAAAGCATTATGACTGGTATTATGAGTTGGCTATATAGTGTCCTTTAAAAAAGATACCTCAGACTGTAACCTTGCTAGGAAATAGGGTCTTTACAGAGGTAATCAAGTTAAAATTAGGTAATTAGGGTGGACCATAATCAAATATGACTTGGGTCTTTATTTTTAAAAAAGGGGGGGGGGAGGTTTGGATACACCAATGGAGAGGCACACAGGGAGAACGCTATGTGAAAATGGAGGCAGATATTGGGGTGAAACATCTACAAGCTAAGGAAGATCAAGCTTGCTAGCAAAC